AATGGCCGCTGTTCCGAGCAACTCCTTTCCCCCTTGAAGTCGCTTAGCACAGCGGCAATACAGCACCTGGAAGATCACTGTCCGCACTATTGTAGCTACAGCTATTACAGTGTTTTACAGGACACTCTTGGGGGGTGATGAGGTGAAAAATGTGAGTACTTACATTGGGCCAAACTGGACCAATATACATACATACAAATTTATACCTGGAGGTAAGCTTTAAAAAAAACTGCAAGCTCCTAAAAATATCTGTTATTTGAAATTCAGTGAGCTCCTAACTTCCTGTAATGAGCTGACAACTCTGCCTCTGCTGCTCTTAAATCACAAGCAGTGTTGTCAGCCCTGTGTTCTCACCTGCTGGACTACAGACCATCTCTATAACATAGGGGGGGGGGTGTTCTGCAGTCCAGTAAAACCATTTTTAGTCCAGATGGTAAATGATCTGCACATGGAATAATATGTAATAGTTGATTCGTAGCCGCACAGTTGTTTTTAGCAAGGAACGGCTGGTAAAAGAAGCTCTACAGGTGCAAACGTCAAGATTGGTATTCCTTTGTAGTCCTTCATCAGCAGGAGCACGGCACTTTGCCCAATCTTCTTCCGGGTGTATTTTTTTGCATCTGCTTCCAAGTCCCCATTTAAGATATTTTGGGTGACTTGTTGGCCGGAAGCGTCACCGAGATGACGTTACGGTGCTCTAGAGGCTCGGATGACCAGCAAACATCGGCTTCTCACTGGTTTACGAGGGTCCATGCGCTGAAGCCGTGCCAGGAAAGTAGTGACAGCTGACGGTCCCTGCGTTGGGTCGTTAGTCACCGGGCGCTCACGATGGAGAACTATATTCAGCCCGATGGATAATGCTTTCCAACTGTTATCTCATTCCTGACGGCTTTCCAAGCGGGTCATCTCCTGGGATATGCTGGAGGAGTACCAGACATTCCTGTTCTGCTTTAAGTAGATCTCTGAGCTAATATTTAAGAAAAAAAATCCATTGCATCGTACCGTGCATATTCATTGACATGACTAAAATGTGTTTTGTGATCACCGTAATAAAACGGGCCTGTAGCTAATTTAGTATTTCACAATGGAGTGAAGGCAATCTGGTTTCTTTGTAAATTGATGACAATTTGTCCTAACACCATGTGTGTTAGGACTACAGTTGTACCTTGGTTCACGAACTTAAAGGAGAACTATGAGGTGAGTGCTTTACACTCACCTCATAGTTCTAGCCGACCTGTGACAATGAGACCCACAGGTCGGCTCAGTAGATCGGGAAGTCAGTGAACACATACCGGCGCTCGCTCACCTCTCGATCCTGTCACGGCTCTCCGCCGTGACTGGAGGGGGCTAGATTCCTCCCTCCCCGCTCCCATCCGCCAGCGCTGACTGGCGGAATGGACGGGGGAGGGGGCGGAAGATAGGCAGAGCCAGCTGTCAGTCGCGCAGCTGGGCGGATCCAGACATAATTGTCGGGATCTGCTTCAGCTGCGGCGTCTCAGTATAGCGCGAGCTGTAGCATTGAGTGAGTGGTGTTCTGTAGTCCTGGCATGCCTACTGATAACTAGGGATGCACCGTTACTAGTATTAGTGCCGATACAGAGTATTTTGGCGACTACTCGTACTCACCCAAATACTCTGATACCTACCCCGAAGATTTTCTCTGACCGCCAGTGCCGTAGGGGAACATAGTCGGCTTCCCATGCAATCAGGAAGCTGGCACCATGCTGTTTGGCCTGTCAGCAAGCCGCGCGATGAGTAATGACCCGGCTTCCTGATTGGCCGGGAAGCTGGCTCCCTGACCAATCGGCTGTTCGGCCGACTCAATGCTGATTGGCAAAGAAGCCGGTTTCCTGGCCAATCAGCATTTAGCTGGCCAATGAGCATGGAGCCGGCCAATCAGGAAGCCAGGAGGCAGGTCATTACTCGCCTCCCGGCTTTCTGATTGGCTGGGAACCAAGCTTCCTAGCCAAACAACATGGAGCCGGCTTCCCGGGCGAACCTTTGACCAGATTGCCCGGGAAGCACCGGTATCAGTACCGAAAGCAAAATATTGGTACTCGATAATGAAAAAACGGTATCTGTGCATCCCTACTGATAACAATGTTTAAGATAAGACTGCAAAATGCACAGGACACAGGGCAGCACTAGAAAATATTGAACACTTTCAATGGTTTATTGAACCGACCGAAAAGGGAGAAAATAAAAGCTCATGGTTGGAGTTTACTTGCACTTAAACACTGTTTGCCTTGTCCTTAGTGAAATGTGATGCGATTTAGAATTCTCCTATGAAAGGTCTGACTTCTGCTTCTTCTCTCTTTAGGTGATTCTTAGAGACTTCAACTCACAATGTCTCAGAGAGTGGGGCAGGATGACCCCGAGCGATACCTCTTCGTGGACCGCGATGTGGTCTACAATCCAGCCACCCAAGCTGACTGGACCGCCAAGAAGCTGGTGTGGGTGCCGTCGGAGAGGCACGGGTTTGAGGCGGCCAGCATCAAGGAGGAAAAAGGGGACGAGGTGGTGGTGGAACTAGCCGAGAATGGCAAGAAGGCCATGGTCAACAAAGATGACATCCAGAAGATGAACCCACCGAAATTCTCCAAAGTGGAAGACATGGCGGAACTGACGTGTCTCAACGAGGCTTCCGTGTTACATAATCTAAAGGACAGATACTACTCGGGGCTCATCTACGTAAGTATTTGTATTATCTATGACCGTTGTTCAATGTCCCTCGTGTATTCAGCATAGACAAGCTTGTGGCAGCTCTTTTTGTGTCTGAAGCAGTGTTTATTCAGAAGTGGAAATGACTGCATTGTAAGTGCCATATGATCTTCAAACATGTGTCTCCTGGCAAATTTTAGAGATGATCTAATGTTTTACGGGTCATTGGCAGTTCCTGAGCTGCGTTCTCCTGACTATGAAGGGTCTCTGTGATGCTACTGGTCTCTAGTGATGGGATAGGCTGCGTTCTCATGAATATGAAGGGTTTCGGAGATGTCACTGGTTTCTAGTGATGGGATAGGCTGCGTTCTCATGAATATGAAGGGTCTCGGTGATGTCACTGGTCTCTAGTGATGGGATAGGCTGCGTTCTCATGAATATGAAGGGTCTCAGTGATGTCACTGGTCTCTAGTGATGGGATAGGCTGCGTTCTCATGAATATGAAGGGTCTCGGTGATGTCACTGGTCTCTAGTGATCGGATAGGCCGCGTTTTCATGAATCTTCCCATGCCGTAATTCTGTCATATGTATCGCCTCCATAGGGTACTTCTTTTTCCAATTATTTGTTTTGCGGGCTGACATCCATTTTATAGAAGGTAATAGCAGATTCAATTCTTTATTAGCCACAGCTTCCTCTGTAAGGCACAGAGAAAATTGAATTTTTTTAATTTCCAGCCACAGATTTAGACCATGTAAATATTTGTAGTTGGGGGTCAGAGCATGAAGCAAACAGATTTAATTCCCGGTTTCGGACTTTGTGCATTTCAGCAGTTTAACGTGTTCCCTGCCAGAGAGGTGCTGTGAAGTTCAACTGTTACCCGGCAGTGGCTGGAGATCTTGTTATTGGCTTTTGAGGGATGGCGGGACTTGGAAGTCCTTAACACTTCCACCTGATACCGCCACTCTGCCTCATTTTGAATCACTTGTAAACATAGTTCTGTAAAGGAGGAGGTTGGGGAGTCGGACACTGTACTGGTTCTTCCTGTTATGGAGGGTTTAATGTAGGGATGCACCGATACCGGTATTTCGGTATCGAGTACTGATATTTTTTTTTTCCCGGTACTCGCCAATACCGAATACCGATACCAGAAGTCCCATTAAAGGAGAACTATGAGGTGAGTGCTTTTCACTCACCTCATAGTTCTAGCCGACCTGTGACAATGAGACTGTCACAGGTCGGCTCAGTAGATCGGGAGGTGAGCGAACAAGAAAGCCGTCCCCATGCTTCTCGCCACTACGCCACAAATCATCTCTGAATTGGCGCTGACACTGTCCTTCCTCCTGGAGGAGGGCTACTTTTGTTCCCCATGGTCCCTGTGTATGTTGTAAAGTAGCCACAGCTCCCGTGATGGACTACAGTCTCACTACAAATTAGTAAATTAAACTCGAGATTGTAGTCCATCCCGGAAGGTAGCTTTTTGCCTGATGCCATTCCAGAGCCTATGGGTTAGGTTGTATGTGAGTTAGATGTGACGAGCAAAGCTCTTATTATGGAGAGGCGACCTTGATGCAGACGGAAAGTACTATTTGCTTTGGGGAGTTTTTTCTTTCTCCTTAACCATTCAGTCCAGCTTGACCTGGTTGATATTTGCTCAGGATTGACAGGTGCTCTTTAATGTGTAACCAAGATCTTTTTGGAAACTTGAATCGGAGCCGCCTGCAGGCCCGTCGTCAGGAGCCAAGATCCCAGCTGCGGCCAGATAAACAACACACTTGCATTTGACCTCTTGGCTTGAGGAACTTGTCACCAAAGATTGATTGCCGCCATGACTGGAGCCAAAGCCAATCTTTCATAGTATGCGGAGATATGTATCGACCATCTGCGGAACCTGGCTCCAAGCTCTTTCATTCTAAGTCCATATCCACACTTTAGTTAATTACGTGGCTTGTGTCCTGTCACTCTTTGTAATTTTATGTGCGGCGTGTGAGTAGCTTCGCTTAATGGCTGCCTGTATCTTAATGGAGGGGCTTGTATTTCTTTATGGACTTTGAGAACTTAGTGCCTAGTGTACTCCAGCTTGGACTGGAAGATACAGCACAAGTAGCCAGTCATGTGGGTTGTAGGGCAAGAATCATGTTTGGTTGGGAGAGACAGAAAAGAGCCCATTAGAATTCCACTTCTCCTGTCACTGTCCAGTTACAGGCTGGGGGAAGGACAAGATCTGTAAGTGTTACTTAACTGCAGTAGTGAAAATTCAGGTCAGCTGGCCATTGATGGAGAGACTCTGGTCAGCTGGCCATTGATGGAGAGACTCCGGTCAGCTGGCCATTGATGGAGAGACTCCGGTCAGCTGGCCATTGATGGAGAGACTCCGGTCAGCCTGGCGGTTCAGGGCACAGTAACAGTGTCTGCTAATGGCTTCCTACCCCACCTGGCAAGGTATACTCCCCGATCTGCACTTCCTTACCACCTCCCTGTTGAGTTGGACCCCTTGCTCCGTTGTTCTAACAGAGCTGGAGTTCTGGGTATAGGGAGCATGTGACTTCCCCCTATGTGACAGGGCTCGGTGCTGAGTGGCCAGTTTCCAGGCCTGAATACTGTCATGTTTGTGTACCCCTTTAGAGGGAAGGTGGTTAGCGATCCGTGCTCCTACCTTGTTGAGCGGCTGACTATCGGGAAATATTGTTACTCTGCTGTGAGTGGTGGCAGTATATCTTTAGTCTCCACCATCCTGGGAGCATTATGAGGATGAAACGTCAGAGTTTCATGACCTCTCTTTTGCAGAAGGATTGAGCTGTGCAAAAGGACACTCTGCACTATTTGCTGTAGAAGCTAAAAATTAAATTGTATCTTTCCCCCCCCCCAAAAAAAATCTAAATCCCCTCCAGGCAAAATGTAAATAATAAATTTGGAACGTTTCAAGCAAACTTTTTGTTGTAGGTCTTTTAGCTGCTTCTGTCCTGTATATATTGGATTCGTCCAGGGACCACTCGGAACACCCGCTGAAATACGTCAAAACGAATGGTGATTGGAACATTCAGCTTTGTATCACCCTAATTGTTTGCAGTGCTCTAATGAGAGTCCTCGAACTCACTTTAAATATTTAGGACTCTTTGAAAAAGAAATGAACCTGCTTTTGGGCTGCCTGTTATTTTGCTACCGAGCTCTCTGCATTATTTTACAACCTTGCCCTAGCCCTGTAGTCGTGAAAGGCCTTGCTAAATCTAAACTCTGTTCCAATTACTTTTGTATTTTAAAGTAGGAAACCTTTTGACTGTGATGGTCCGGATTGTCTGGCTATTCTAGTCTGCGATTCAGGAAATGAATGGAATAACTTTGTATCATTTGTGGGCAGTTGGCAAGGCTCGGTTGTGTTTGGATCAGCCTGTGGCTTGTGTCACGTGTGAGGTATGGGCGAGGGTCTCTGAGCCTGGAACCGGCTCGCCTCCTCTGTGAGATAAGAGCTGATACGCGATCGGCGGAATGTTATAGAACGCAGACGTCTACCGCCGTTCTATTTCAGTCTGCGAGGAGTGCCCGCTGGAATCCGTCAGGGTAGACGTTATCTGGTCTTGTGGTAGATATCTCCATCTCTGTGTAGACTGGACATGAGTCACAATGAGGACACTATTGCCCGGCATGACACATGCACAAAACATTTCAGCTGCAACAGGGAGGAAAACAATGAATACCTATAGAGAACCAAATATGGCTTTGAGAAAGAATCCAAAATTGTTATAATTATACAGGTTCACTTATCAAACATTTACATTGTACCGGGTTATTTATCCCCACAAATGTTTGTCTGAGGGAGACACGAGATGCTGAGAGGCCCCCTAAAGTTTTTGATTAGGGATGCACCGATTGCGGTTTTTCGGTATCGAGTACCCATATTTTGTTTTCAGTACTTGTTGATACCAAGTACCAGTGCCTCCGCTGCCATGGAGCCAGCTTCACCGGGCAATCTGGTGAAAGATCTGTCCGGGAAGCCACCGGCTCCATGCTAATTGTCCGGAAAACTGGCTTCCCAGCCAATCGGCATCGAGACGCCCGAACAGCTGGCTCAATGCTAAATGGCTGGGAAGCTGGCTCCAATCAGGAATCCGGAATGCGAGTAATGACCTTCCTCCCGGCTTCCTGATTGGCCAAGAAGCCATCTCCATGCTATTTGGTCGGCTCGATGCTGCTTGGCTGGTAAGCTGGCTCCTCAGCCAATCAGCATGGAGCCTGCTTCCCGGCCAATCAGGAAGCTGGGAGGAGAGTAATGACCCGCCTCCCAGCTTCCTGATTGGTCGGGAAGTCAGCTCCATGTTGATTGGCTGGGAAGCTGGCTTCCCGGTCAATCAGCATCGAGCTGGCTGTTCGGCCGGCTCCATGCTGATTGGCAGTGAAGCCGGTTTCCCAGCCAATCGGCATGGAGCCGGCCGAACAGCCAGCTTCCCAGCCAATTAACATGGAGCCAGGTTCCTGATTGCACGGGAAGTCGGCCACATGTTCCCCTACGGCATTGCCGGTCAGAGGAAATCTTCCTCCCTACCGGAAGTTCCGGGATCGGGGAAAGCATCCGAGCATTTGGGCGAGTACGAGTATACAATAGAATGAAATAGAAAGTGCCCAAGCATTTGCCCGGGCATTGATCCTCTGCCATGGCCAGTAAGGTGGCTTGACGTTCAACAGCATCCAGGGATACCGGAATCTGAGAGGAGAATCTGCTGTCAAGATGTTCCAGTGTGGCATCTTGCAGATGAGAGGGAAAAGTTCTTACCTTCCCACTCCCTGGGTCAGACCAGTCTGTCACCAAGTCGATGCATTTTGGGGGTGGATTCCACCGTGAAACATAGTCTTTTTGACAGACTTCTCGGACGTAGGATTGGATAGACTCTATGGTCTCCGCTGCAAGATGCCACACCGCTGAACAGTATCCAGGGATGCCAGGTTCCGCAAGCAGAAGCGGGAGCACTGCCAGGATGTTCATGAGCCACGCCGCACAGCTGAGAGGGTAGAGTTCTTCCCCCTCCAACTTCCTAAG